TGTGCTGCCTGTCGGGCCTACTATATGTTGTCAAGGACAAGGACGAATCACAATCCCCCTCCCCTCGCCTTTCCCCGCTCATGTGTGTAAGTGTGTGTGTGAGTGTGTGTGTTTGAGTGTGTGTTTTCTGGGGGCTCTTTGAGCTGCTGTGTTTGCCCAACTGCGGCGTTGGTGGCAGTTTCTTGAATAATGCAAAATAGTAGCATCAAATAACGGCACCAAAAGTGACTTAAAGTTTTAATGAAAATGCCAGGCTCGAGCAAACACCCCCCTTTTCCCTCCCCCTTTTCCATTTCCTCTGCGAGTGCGGCCCAAACATCCATACATTAAATATTAAGTGGCCTTATAGCATTGCCCCGTAGTGCATATTAAATTTCTGTGTATAAAAAAAAGAAACGGAAAGTAGCTTCCTCCGCCATTAACCTCCCGAGTGGGAAAATTTCAAATATTAATTCCATTCGACGCTTCAATTCGATTTAATGGCAAACAAATTGGCATTTTGAAATGAAACTTTAGCTGCCATTTGGGCCCTGGAATTTATGGGCGAAATCAAAGTCCCCAACTTGACCGGAAATATCCTGGAATTGTGGCTGCTTATTGATTGAGCTACTTAGTTGGCCCACAAATCGGTTAGTATTTGTGGTCGGAGTGAAAACCGAAATTCGAATGTCCAATGGCCACAAACTTTTGCACAGACTTTCTCAATACTGAGGTGTTCCGAACAAGTTGGCCAAGGAAAAATGGTGGCCAAAAGTCTACTGAAATTGGAGTTCCAATATGGATTAGTTGGAGTTTGGATATCTACTTCACGTGTAAAAAGCATTGCGCAATTTTGTTCGTTTCCCTTGAACACGATGTGTATTTTGCTGGAAAATATTTGCTCAGCTTTTTCCCTATTCATCAGCTAAACCAATAAATGATGATAGACAATGCTGCACTCCATTTAAGGTGACATTTCTCAGCCACCATAATAGATGACTAATCCGGAATATTGTCAGCTCGTGGCTTAAATTACCTCACATTTATTATGGGCGCAGCCAGAGATTAGGTGTCCGAATGCAAATGACCGGGAAAATGCAGTTCGAAACTGTCACTTAACTTGCCCCCAAATGCAGTGGCACGTTGCACGATTTCAATAAATCTGGGGCGTGTCGAAATTTTCGGCTCTTCGATGATTGATGGGGGAGTTGACGGGGGGCGGCAGGGGGGAAAGGGGGCGTGACCGAGTCCCAAATTCGGTCAATTAGTCAAACAGAAAGCGTTTTTGCTGCGAAGCTAGTCTTTGCCATCCCCGAACTAATTAAAACACGCTGAGCAAACTCGACGGCTTTTCGACGGGATGAGGGATTGCCATTGGGTTTGAGCTTGGGTTTCTGGCTTTTGCTTGGGACTTTCGGGGAGTGGTAATGGGCACGTGCCACCAGGATTACCGAGGTCGAGACGTTTAGTTTCGGATTATTGATGGGAGGAGGGAGGAGGCAGGAGGGACGGGGGAAGGCGTGCCACGCCCTTGCATACAAATTTCACGTCCGCGGACGGAAGGTCAGCGGTAATCGAGTGTGACAAACAAGGTAAATATTTGCAGGTATAACGTTGCCAAAAATCGGTAAATAAATTCAAGCTTGCCGGGCGGTGATTCATTTGAAATTCTGTTTAATTAAGTGTGATTAGCCATCAGGATTCCCAGTGCAGACAATAGCTTATGGTAATTGTTTAAAGCTTGAATACCAATTAATATTTGGAGAGAGTCCAGCACTCCCTAAGCTTTTGTTCTTGGATATTATATTTTTTATGATCTCATGGTAGTGACATATTTTCGCGGTTTCTAACGATCCAAGCCACTGAGCATGACCGAAGCGAATCTTCTGCCCGGGAACTCTGAACTCATGAATAATTTTGGCATCCGTAAAACTAATTATGCTCATTAGCCTGCGGATATATAAATCGCTTTCCTAGACTTTTAAATGGCACACGCTCTTTAATTATAATTAGACCCGTAGTTATTTAATGTGCATCCACTTTTTAAGCCATTTTTGGTTTTACCCTCTTCTCAATGATGCTATAATTATACAATAAAAAGTTAATATCCTATGTGAGAAGCAATGGTTATGAGTGTGTTAAAAAATCTCATATAATTACTAATTATTATACAATTCTTTTACTAATGAGTATAGCAGGTTATTGTGCAAAAACTCAGTTGCTTTTAAGGCTTTGCGTGTTAGTTCTTCGATTGCTCGACTTAATGACAGATTGTCGTCATTTGAGCTGTGAACTCAACACCCATTGAAATTAAAACCAGTAATCGGTCGTTTTAATTATACGAATTTATTCAAGTGCTTTGATCAAGTTGCTCTTAAGTTAAGAGCGCAACTCCGAGTTTAATTGATGATTTGCTCAGGTGCTTGCTATTCGAGCCTTTTGATTGAGGGCTGAAGGTCGTTGACAGATTTGATGTTTAAAGTTCAGAAATGGCAAGAACCAGCTATTAAGGAATAGGCAAATATTCGAACTGGTTTTGAGATCGGTTACGTCATCTGTAAACTGGTGGGCATTGGCCATGCATCACGACTTTAATAGCTATTACTGTTTACTACATGCAAAATAACCTTTTCATGAACTCCGAGGCATAGGAATTTCCTTGCTCACGCATCTGGATTTCAATTAGGAGAGTGAGTAAGAGTGAAAGTGGCAAACCACAACAGTCGTGGGAATTATGGGACCACCCAACTAGAATTCTTGAAGCGTGTCTGCGGTTTTGGGCTCACAGAAATTTGATCCAAGACAAAACGGCAATTAGTTGGCTCGTGCAGTTGCAATTAAATCTTAGACTCTATTTTAAGTAAAGAGCACGATTTTTCTACCCATAAATAGCAATTGCATTCTAGTTAGAGACCACGATGAGCCATGGGTAACTTATAGGCACTTAAGATTCATGACCAGCACTTAAGCAATGACTAATTCTGATGGAAGTCCAACGAACTAGGAAATCCCAAAGTCCACGACTGATAAGGCTCGGTTCTACGTCACCTCAAGGTAGAATTATAATAAATACAGAAGGGGGTAAAGAAAATCACACTTTGCGGGTTAACAATGAAACGACAAATTAAAAGGGAACAGGAACCAACAACAAAGAGCGATTTACGAGTAAATGGGGGCTCAAGTACAACGCTTCTGGGGATTCCCGTGCTCAAAAATGTGAGCGAAAGCAAAGGCAATGGCAAAGGCAAAGGCTTGAACTTGAAATATTTTGTGGAGCAAAAGGGCAAATACACACGCACACACATGTAAGCACGTGCAAGAGCTTTAATTATGCGCGAAGTGAAAAGTATCTTTCAGATTCTTTCGGTATCTTTTAGCTCCGACGAAGACAATGAACGCCGACGACACGTTTCGTTTGCTGTTGGCCAAATTATATATGTTCTGCCTCGCTCTCCGCATCAGTGTCAAAAAAAGCAGCAGCTAAAGCCGAAAGACAAACAACATATTGGGGCCCAAACCCCGCACCAAAGAGTGTACATATGTCGACGGTTTTTTTGTGTTTTGCCAAATTAGCAAAAACTGGTTTACGCAGGTACTCTGCTTGGCTGGAAGCCCGAAGAGCGACGACTGGGGAGCCGGGGAACTGGGGAACTTGGGGCCAAAAGACAAACAAAAGCCGTTTTGCTCATTAGCCGACTCTCCGCCGCCGCTGCTCGGTAGTCAAACAAACTCGGCTTGTCGTTTTCGCTGATATCTGTGGGCTGGGTGGGAAGGTCGAGAGAGTTTTTGGCCCAAACACCCATTTCATTCCCAAAGAGTAACGTTTTGCGGCAGCATAATGACAATTCGGCAGTCGGTCGAGCGGATAACTTACTGAGGGTCCTCTGTCTTGGCCTCTGGATGTAGGGCAAGATCTGGGACGAATCCAGTTTTCAACGACACAGTCTCAGGAGCGCGAGATCGGCACTTCACGATCCGCGGAACGAGTTTTACTGGATAAAAGGCGTTTTTCCCCATCGGCGACAGTTCTGATCAATGACAATGGCCCTCGACGCAATCGTAATACAAATCGTTGTATTTATCTATAAATGTCAATTCGTTTGCATATTGCCTTTCGAGCTTGAAATGCAAGCCTTCCGTTCAGAAGCTGTGCGATTATAACCCAACTTATTATAACTCTTTTTCTGATATTTAGAGCTTATGTAGGTACAAATTTTGTTTACTTAAATGCGAGTATTAAGTTGTTCTTTTCGTTAAAGTTATTTTAATGAATTTTAAATTTTTAAATTTGGTTTTGCTTGTAACAAAAAAAGTCTTTTTACCGTTGGTATTTAAACTTTAAAACTTGTGCTGTAGATTTCAAGTCGTGATTTTTTAAAAATATTTGTTGATAAGAGTATACATTGAGACACAGTGAAAAAATGAAATAATGGAACTACATAGTTATTCATAATCAGCGACATAAAGTATACGCATACGAACAACAAAAAAAAGATCGGATGTCGGGTTTTTTTCGAAAATAATGTATATTTACGAAGAAACACAACAAAATTATATATTAAATGCGTGATAAGAAGTTAACATTAAAATAAATATATAACACGAATATAAACCATTTTCTTTGTATTAAAAATAAAATATAAAAAAATTTTTATATTAGTCACCGCAGAATTTATTAGAGCTTACAGTGGGTTGGGTGGTATAACAAAAAATGTATATTGGTCCTGAAGAAAAAATTCTATACACAAAATTTATGCAAGCCGGCAAAAACGGAGGGTAAATAAAGACTGAAAAAAATCAGAAAATAGACGGCAGAGGGGGAAGGGGTATAAAAAACACAAACATGGATTGATTGTGCTTTTAAATGGAAATTTGTTGCACTGGCAAAAAGCGCAAGTCGAGCAGAAAGCCAACTGTTTGGGATGCAGCCAATAGCCATCGGCTTATCTTTTCGAGCCAATAAACCAATTAGGAGCAAAGTGTTTTTATACTGACAGAGCAGATGGAACATCTCCACATACCTATAAGGCTGCTAGGTCAGCTGCTATATATTATGAGTCCAATATAGAATCTTTTCACCCCGAAATCCGAAAAGTTCTCATGCAGCTTTCAGTCTGCTTTCGTTATTTCAGCAATTGAACCCAATAATTTTCAGTTCAATTGGCTTTATGCTTTTCTCGATTCTTTTTGGCGGGTTTCACTTGTGTGCGTTATGTATCTATATCTACACTTTGTTTGTTTTCGACGTTTATCGTGCTCACGTTTACTTATTTTACTTCTCTTTTTTTACTTTTTTGTTTTGCTTATATGTTTTCCGCGATCTCCGCAATGCTTTCCGCCCGATTTTCGACTTTGTACTGATCAGATTCTCTCTCTGGCACTCTGCTATAAGTATCAGCTTGGAGCTGGATAAACAAATAAGAGTGCGGCTCCCAAGAGAAATGTATGCTGCTCTTCGGACTCTCTTAATTAAACAATAAGTTTATTGTACAGGCGGCGGAATGATCAAAGTCTCAACGAACAAAACGTCATGATCTTCGTCAGCGAGCAAAGTCTTGGCCATAATCTATTCATCCGCAATTAGAGTTTTCCAGACACCCACAATGAGGGGTCTTTGTATCCAGAGTGAATCACAGTGGGGAAAAGTGACAGTGCACTTTCCACACAAGGAATTTCTCTGACGGATTGCACAGATGGCCGGGCCTCTAATTATGAATGGGTGCGCTCAAGTTCCAATGTGAAATTCAGATGCGATGCTTGACTAATTCGCTGCTTTTTAAGTCACCAACAGATGAGGCAACCAGCCTGCCACTTGCGGTGGCACGACCCAAATCGCAAATCAGGCACTGAAATATGTCACGTTTTGCATGACTTTACGGACGCAGAAACGGACTGACAATGATGAATGCTAATTGCACTTTTCGCCATCTCAACGAAAAGCCCATTAAACGACGCTCGAAACGATTCTGGAGTTTTCCCAATCATTAATGGCTAGAATTATTGGCGTCGTGAAAATGAAGGTCCATCCACTCATAAAGATCTACATGCAAATGAACAAACTTTATTGTTTCGCTTAAATGAAATATTTTAAAGATTTTACGATGCCATTAGGACTTAAAAAAAGTTATGTAAATGTCAAAGTAATTTACCAGTTTTTTTGTTTATTAGGATTCTTTACTGAATTCGCAAATATTTGAATTTGGTCCCCTGGGTTCTTACGGAATAATAAAGCAAGCTTTAATCATTGTAGGCATTTTGGAGAAAAAATTTTTAAAAAAATAACAAGCGATAGCTGCGTTAGCCTTGAAAATAAAAAAATGGCTTAAAGCGAGAGAGGGAAAAACTCTGTAGACGACTATCAGATACCAGTTACATAATTATATCATACATAAATCATTTAAGTATATTAGGTTTACGGGGTCGCATGTGCTTTCTTTATCAAATGCTGTATAGAATTTCTCTTTGCGGGTATAAAAATGTGTAACTGATGTTGAAAAATATTTAAGTACTTTTCCATCAAATCAAAATTCAAAAAATATATTTTTCCTAATTTGAAAGTAAAAAAAAAATAAAATAATAATAAAAGAAGAGCACAAATATTTCTTATAAAAATTGTAAGATCTGTAAAATTTAATTTGCAGAGCAAGCTAAAATACCCTAAAATACCCTAATGCTTGTATTCTTCGGAACCAAAGTGAAGATAAGGCATATCAGTACTGATGGTAGTTGTGGTGCAGCGCGTAGAGCGATGTGCGCGCGAATTCACCACTAAGCGTGTGTTCAGTAGAAGTGGGTTCGATTCCCAGCGCGGTCGAATCATTATTATTATGTAGCAGTCTCCACAGACAACAAGAATAGGAAGGTATAAAAATGTATTTTTAGTTAGGAAGATGCGATTTCATCATGGCATAATAGTTTGACTTTCCCATAGTCGAACAATTTCCGCATGAATCGCAGATTAATCCTCAGGTTAATGCGCGTGTCTACTGACATTTCGAATAATGAATGACAGTGCTTTCGCGCAATTTCCGTACAACAAATTAATATTTTATTTCTGTACAGCAATATACGATTTTATTGTTTACTTTGTGTTTTCTATCGCCGCACAGCAACCACAAACTTTGTCGGCAAGTTCACGCAGAGTGTGCGGCGAATTGTGCAGGATGTGAAGGACGAAGGAGCGCCCAGCGGGATGACGCGGGACGAGGTGATCGAGACCAACGAGCGGCTGAGATCGCTGCGCCTGCGGCTCGAGGAGTCCTACGAAACCGCCAAGAAGGCGCTGATCAACCTCATGAACAAGTACGGCGACTCCAAGAGCCAGCGCAACATCTTCCAGCGCTATCCCATGCTCAAGCTGATGATTAAGGTCAGTAAACGCTTCTTTTATTTCTCAATTATCTTTTCAACGTAGCGGACCGTATACATAATTATAAATTTGATTTACCAAATAACAAAGATTGTAGTCAAATCACAAATTACTTACATAATTTTAGGGAGTATGAGTTGCAACTAAGAAGGAATTTAAATCCGAATCACTTAGACTGATAAACTTTTGTCAAGTAATGTGTTGCATTTATTAAATTATAACGCACTTTTTAGCAGATACTTAAAAAAAGAAGTTTTGGAAAAACAAATTCGGTAAATGGCGGACAGAATTTTTAAATAAAACAAACATGTATACTGGTTGGATGTTGCCCAAAAAGTGAATTTTTTGTGAAAACACAATATATTTCATTCTTTGTAGAGCGATTAGAGATAACAAGGTCACAAATAAGATCATTTCATTTTAAATACCCAGCAGGGGTTTGTCATAAGGGGTTTGTCATAAGTTTTCAATCAATGAAATTAAAGATTTCGAAATTTGTAATCAACATTGGTATCAGTCTTTACAAGCTACCAAAAATGTATTAATATATTTTATAGATGGCATTTATCTGTTGATAAATATGTCTTGTAGCCCTAAAATACATACTTATTAATACCGTTTTAGGGTATTTAGAATTTCGCTTTTGAATAGTTTTTGCATTTGATAACAGCGCTATATGTAAGGTATATAAAAAATATATTCCCGAATTCATCACAATCACGCGGCGACAATGATTATTTCAACAATAAAATCAAATCTTACCGAACCCCCGCAGGAAGTGATACGCCTGGAGACCCAGTACTGGACCCTAGTGGACATTCCGCGGCAGGAGAAGCAGGAGACGGTGCCCTCCTACGTGATGCGGGCCTGCTCAATAATGGAGAAGACCCAGAAGTCCGGTGAGGGAGTCAAGACATCGGCTCGCTTGGCGGAGGAGGCGGCCGAGCGGAGGGAACGCATGGAGCGGTTGGAACGTGAGTCATTCGACCCACTAATCAGTAATGAATTTTAAAATATATACTATTGAGTAGATATGACCACGGCTCAGATTGAACATGAGAATACGCAGCTGATTAACGACTTGTACCGCTTGCTGAAAAAGTATCTGGGACTGCGGCACCTCATCCGCGTGCTGAAGGTAAGCGAAATCCTACTGAAATCCTTTCTTTGCATCCTTATTTAAATGGAATTCCGCAGGAGGAGTATGGCAGCTCGAAGATGTACCCGATATTTCCTCGCTACACAATGCTGAAGGACATGATCAAGGGCATCATGCACGATCCGGACTACATGGAGGTCTGCCACGAAACGCTGGCCAACGCCAACTGAGCCGAGGGCACTGGAAATGGCAGGCGTCGCATGAGTGTCATTTAAGAGGGCCCAAAAACAAAGAGCAATATATATACAATCAGCAGTGTGCACAGGTGAAGGATCTAGGACCTCATCCTATGTGTGCATCAGAGCTGAATTCGCATGCGAGTTTCTCAGAGATTCCGGAGTAATTTAGACGTTTTCAAACTACTTCCCCGAAACTCGAAGAGCGGGTTTCACCAACCTCTTTCGGCCCTTTTTAGCCAACACTCGATGGCAAGCCAAGACAAACTAATCAACTAACTAACCAACCCACTAACTAACTAACTACTAACACCCAAGCCCCCACCAACTGAACAAGGAACTATTTACACTACATTATCAGATACAAACACTTGGATACTCTTCGGCATTTGAGTGCCAGCAAACAAACTAAAAGGCATTTATTTTAATGAACTTTTGAGATGAATACAAAGTGAAACCTACAAGATACAAAACACAAGATATTTATTGATAAAACAGTGAACGAAGCGCTCAAACGATGAACAAATATCAAATGGAAAATCAAACCAAACTTTGTGTAATTTGTATGTACTACTTACAAGAAACTGAGCCTAGTAACTTAAACATAAATACGAGTATATAAATCAAGAAGTATATGTGTGAAATAACCAAACTAAACTAAAGTACAGCAGTTGATAGGGAGCATAGATCAGAGATAGCTAATGACAAATTGAGATAGAAGATTTCCTGGTTTGCCACCTCTATGTTTTTATAAAGAACTGGTTGATTGACCGCTAGCAGAATATTATTATAGCTACCAAGGTGTATCAAATTAAATTAAATTAAATTAAAATGCCCCATGCCTAGATGTATTACTTACCTAGTTAGACAATATGAGGGAAATATTCCCAATCGATGTGAGCAGTCACGCGAACTCTTGACACCTTTTAAGACAACACCAATTTGTGGAGACCTTGAGAAACCCATATCCTAGGACCTAAACTCGTTGTTGATTTCCAGTTTGGCCCGTAACTATTACTGAAAACCAAATGCTTTATGTGTGTATCGAAACGTTCAGCTTTAAGTCCTCGGCAACGCGCAAACAAACCGAAATGCAAATGTGTACTTCATAAGTTCAGATGAGATATGTGTATTCATGTATTCGTTGTTGTACATACCTTGTAGCTTTGTAATTCCTCAACCCATCCAACCCCCCAAAAACCAAAAGGACACAATGCACACACACTCGAATACAAAAGACCAAAGAAAACCTAGACGAGCTTACAACTTTTTACGAGAGCTAGAAACCCACAATTTCCATTTATGTTATATTGTCGATTGAAAATCTGTTTCACTTACTGCTTCAAAGGTGGCAATTTAAAAGAACTTGCTTCCCAAATCGCCGGGGAATTGCACTGGCAGAAACGGGGAGCCCTTCCATACTAACTCAACTGAAACTCAAACTGTAACTCAACTGACACACCCACCGATACCGATACACAGAGAATAACACTGGCAGTGCATACATATCTGAATATCTGACTATCTGAATATAAGCAAATCAAAAACACGTTCGAAAGCCGCAGCCATCAATGAAAGTGCAATTGAGTGCATAAATTAATCGAACAACTGTTTGCATGTCTATTATACTATATACCCCACGGCCTCCAATTGCTGGTTAATTTGCCCACTCCGACTTTATAATTGGTATTATCTATCCGGCTTCCTCCCCCTTTCAACAACCACAAAAATTAAAAAAAAAACTGCATCAGCGGAAAACATTATCATAAATAAATCAAAATAGCTAATTGAATGTTGGAAAAATAGAAAATTAATTATGCAAAATCGATGCTATAGAGTGAACTACACAAATTTTCATTTAGATGGTTAAGCCTAAGCGATGAGTTCTGTTGTTTATGTAGTTAAATGTTGAGCATTAAATTTGAATTTGATAAATGTTTGCCATTTGCAAATGAAGAGGGATACAAATAAATAAAATCGCAAGATAACTAAAGTCAGAGCAGATAATATGTTATACGACTATGCAATTATAGCTAAACTAATTAATTCTATACTGTAATGATCAGGTATTAAAGTTATGAAGTTTAATCCAAATCCAGATAAAATAAACAAACAATCGAGTGCTTGTGAATGTGTGCGTGAATGTGGAAAATACAAGCGCATTGCAATATAGGATATTATGATATTATGAAACATTTGGGGCAATATGCTGCATACCTACAGAGGCAAACTTAAGTACTATAGTTATATATGGTAATGGTATTCGTATTATTATACAACTTATACACGATAAACAACATATACACGTGTACCCTACTTATACATACAGACCCACATGAGGAAACATGGGCAGTCGGTACTCCTACAAACCAAAAACTTCGTACAATTTTACCTTTTCAAAATCTCAGTGTCTAACAAAAAGCATTAAATGTATTTCCGCCAAGGAAGTTACCAATATATTGGATGTATCAGTAAAATATGTGTCAAGACACTCGATAATATGAGAAAATCGATAAATATATTGATATGCAAAAGGATATAAAATGTGGTTTTATTTATTGAATCAAAATCAAAACTTTTTTTCAGGAAAAACAAGTTTACTTCTTTTATCATCAAACTGTTTTTATAGCTCAAAAGCCCACTTTGCAAGCCGCAATTTAAAATTTGATTTTAATTTTATTTATATAAGCATTTGTTGTTAATTTGTATTGTTTACTTAGCACGACCCTGAAATTTTAATTTTAATATTTTACACATTTAATATTTTACACATTTCTTGCATGTATGAATTTTACACAACCTATAGCGCCCTCTAGATCTGGTCAATAACAATGTATCTTGCATCTTGCTACATATTACTTTACACGCGATGTTAGAGTCCTTTTACATTTTAATCATTCAGAAATCCTAACCAAAAAGTTTAAAAGCCTTGCAGAAACACATAAAGAGTAAACTACTCTATTTGTGCTATGGGCAGCTAAAACGAAAGTTTGTTTAAAGGCGTATAGAAGTCTTTATTATAGTAAACATGTTATCAATATTCTTTTGGTTATTTCAAAGGTATATTTACAAGATTTTTTTTTTCTAAGGAACAGTTCGACAAGTCGAAATTATTATACCCTTGCATATATCAAACATCTTTTTGAAAACTTTATGGAATGAAGATTTTTTAGCAGAGAATAATATAAAAGTTTTGACTTTGCTTTACATATTATGATCACAAAATCATTATTTACTATATTCGTAGAGTAAAAGACTTGCATAGATGCTATTTAAATCCTAACACGAGTAAAACGTGCCTCATTATCAGCACTCCACTTAGCGTTCCCTTTTCTTACTAATATTTTTCTTATTTACTTGCAAAGCAAGATTATAATATCTTGATCTTGATTATGTATATATGTATCTTGATGCATGTATATATAAGTAGCCCACCTATATAAACAGGGGAACGGCTGGAAAATATTATTAGTAAGAATTGCCCCTGCTAGTTCTACAAATTTATTCTTATTCCCTATTAAGTACTCGGAAGGAAAGCAAATTAAGATGAATTTGTATCTCTGTCTAAGGTAAATTGAGTTATATATTTGAGACATTAAATCAAAGGCGTATACATTTTAAGCTTTGTGCTGGCATTGTTGTTTTGCCTAAAGGGCACCGTGAGTGCAGATGAAATCAACCCAGATCTCCGGAGGATTCAGTTTTTCCTTCGAACTAATGAGCCTGTTACACCGAGCGCCTGGCTTCAGGTTTGGGTTAACTCTCTCCATATATGCAGTGATCAGAATTCAGTCGCCGAAGATCGTTGTACAAGGGAACTCATGAATTTGGCGATTGAGGCTAGAAATAAAATTTCGATGGAGGGTCTTAGTAACACCGATCAGGATGATAAATATTTCGATGAAATTTCATCATACGTTTCCGGCCTACACCAACAAAAACAAATTACAGAAAATCAATAAATTTATAATATAATAATGATTTTATTTGTAACATCAGCTTTGTATCTTTTCCATAATAAACTTTGTTTTGTGCAATTGTAACTCTGTGATATTACTTTTTGTTATGGTTGTGCTTGCCAGATTCGTAGGCTTCCGAAGGATCCTCTGGCAGCGAATCCAGAGAAAGGGAAGATCCTTTCGACTTGGAACTGGCTGCAGACCGCGAAGAGTTCTTCGGATACTTAACCGCTTTGGTATTGCCAGAGCATTGCAAGATGAAGCGAATCTCGTCGAGAAGTTCGGTCTTGAAGTTGACCTGATGGATGGGATTACAAATACAAATAAGTACTAGATAAATTATTTCGTTGGGAGACATGCAAAACAATCATGCAAGTCTATCACAAAGCATTCATGAAAGGGGCTTTACTAGGGATTCATTATGAGATTATCAAAATTGTGTATTAAAGATGATACAGCTGAGTGATTTTTGGCTCCAGGCTGTCGCTTTTTGGGGAGCTGATGGACCGAGTTCGTTATTCGTTTTAGGGCGACCTTTTTCAGCGCCATTTTTAGTCACGGTATAGGTGATAAATAGAAGTATTTATAGAGCCCCATCCGCGTTACCTTATTTTCCCTCGCACTCAAGTAAACGCTGACCACGCAGTTGACCAGGCCGTAAACGCTGCCAAAGCAGCTGCCCACGAACATGACCAGGTAAACGCCACCCAGGTTGGCGAATCCCAGCGAGGAGGCGTCCGAATCGGCGGCTTCCTATGGTTTTTTAAAGGATTTTCGAGATTCAAAGGATAAGCAATTCACAGTGCATGTTTGTGTGTGCGTGTGTGCAATTGGGCAGCAGGCCAGCTAATCGAATCGGATGGCAAGGCGGGAGTACTCTAAGCTGGAGTGTGTAATCCTGCTGGATACCTGGTTCTCGTCGCTGCGCTCCTTCACGCCCAACACCATCTCGAGCAGGGAGACAAAGATGCCGAAGAAGGAGCCCACTCCCATCACCAGGAAAACGCCGCCCAGGTTGCTGATCTCCAATGCGACGGCTCCGGATTCCTCGTCCGCATCCTGCACACACCCACACATGCACCAGCTGCTGAAGTCCTGGGTTCCTGGTTAATTACTTACCGAACAGGCTCCCCCGCCGCGCTTCTCCTTCCACCACTTGGTCTTCATCTTGGTCAGCACTCCCTGCTCCTGCATCTCCAAAACCGCCTGACTGAGGGTGTCCCTGTAAGGCCAGTCTAGAAAAGGAAACTCAGGTGAGAAAGGGTTTCTTAATAACCGAAATCATCTGTGATTTATACTCTTTCGCATGGCTATCCCGTAACCCTTCTCGTCCAGCAAGGCTCCCACTTGGGTGAGGGTGCATCGCCTTTCGGTGATGTACTCAATGGTGGTGGACTCCATGAGGAAGGCATAGTTGGAGTTCTCCACCCGATCCACGCCCTCTTGGTTGGTATTCGTCATGTACTGGGGATTGTCCCTCATGAATTCGTACATCCGCTGGTAAGTGGGGTAGTTTGATTCCTAGATTAAAAGTATTTATCTTGATTGTAGAAAGATATTGGCTTTGTTAATTAATCCTCACCTTAAAGAAATTAAAAGTAGCGCCACCAATCTTGGCTCCATAGTTTACACCGCCTTTGTTCTTTGACAGATCATCTGCATCATTGATTGGGGTCACCAATGACTCCACAGTGAGAAATGCTGCTAAATTAGCCGTGTATGAGGAGACCAAAATCAGAGTGAAGAACCACCAGGATGCGGCCACAGCCCGAGTTGAATAAGCTCTTTAAAAAGGAAAAAAAATTAATGTAAAATTAAAAAAGAAGCTATGAAAAAGATAACTCACTTTGGAGCCAATTCAGATCCCTGTTGCAGTAGAGCTCCTACCGAAAACCATAGACAGTTGGCGAAACTAAACTGGTTTTCCAGTTCCGTCGGCTCTTCAATGCATGGATATGGATTGTCCCACTCGGCAGGAGAAAGTCTTCCCAGTACAAACATACTGATCGATACACCCATGTAGGCCAGTCCCAGCCAAAGCCAGACTTCCCCAGAAAACGGCGACATGAAGGAGAAAAGTTTTGGGGGTTCCTTCATCGGTTTGCGGAACAGAATTCCAATTCCTGTTTTTTGTAATTTAATAAGTTGTTAAGTACAAATACAGGCAAAAAATTTAAAACAATATTTATTATTTTATATTTATAATAATGTACAAAATAAAAAAAAAAGTTTTATTTTCAATAAATCTATACCTAAGATTCAATAACCTTGACTTAAGATCTGTATCAGTAATCAAACAACATTTTAAGGAAAAGAAAGTTGGGTTGGGTATAAACTACATATTTGTTTCTATATGTATAATATGTATCTTAAATAAACCATTTCAATAATAATAAATAACATTTTTCATAATCCTTACCCAAACTCATGAAGGGTATGGTGAAGTCGACGCCGCTCTCCCGTTCTGATGTCATGGTCAGGTCGGTAATGCCCATGTCAGCACGCTAATTAAATATGAAAGATTATATTATGGGCTCTTTGCATGCACGGCATCATGCATTTATTAATAGAAATGTAAATGCACATGTAAATATTGCGCATACGCCCGATTGAGCGTAGTAATAGAGCAATCTTTTAATTATGCATTATAGTTTACAAAGCGCACACAACGTGAAAAATAAGCTTTGAAATTACTATGTGAATCATTGAAATTTCTTTGGAATCGTGAATTTCACAAATGAAATTTTCTTAATAAATCATTTTTTGTTATCGGAGATGTGCTAAAAGCAATAAATATTGATTCTAGGGAATTTTTAGAGATAAAGAATTTCCAACGACCTAAGTATAAAGTTAATTCGACATAAAATAAATTTTCAGTACATAGTTTCCGATTAAACCATGAGGTTCTACTTTATTAGTATTTTGACTTTATTCATTGGATACTTTTGCTCAGCAAGTGCTGACATTAACGATCCAAATTATGACGCCGATAGGAATTCAATTCTGGACATCTTTCATAATCCAGCTGTGAACAACTCTACCAAGGAAAGAAACATTCCGGAGTTAATAAACTTTTATCGTCGCTATCCAAACGCAGTTCATTTAACCGATGTCGAAAAGCAACAATTTGAGGGGTTCATTAGGGAATACCAAGGATCTCGGAACGTTTTGATTGATGGAGTACCAGCGCAGGGTGGATCTATTGGATACGCATTTGGACATTTCTTAGGAAAGCTCGGTACTGGATATTTCAGGTCTCTGTTTAACAAAAAAAAGGAGGATGAATCTAAACGTGCATCTACTTCAACCGTAAAACCACCAAGAGTTCTAATTATAAATTTAAAGAAATAATAATGACAATCTTATGAAAATAATAAACCTTGAAGGAATAATACATTTTTTATGATTTCTCCAACTATAAATTGTAGATAAACAAAAAAATTGAAAAAACCCAAGAGGCTTTAAAAAAATTAATAATTCAGATTAGAGTAAATGACACAATCTTTTTTTTAAGTAATGCAGTGAATATTTCTTTTCAAATTGTCATTTTGGTTGAGTTTTAACTAAGAGTTGGTATTATATTTTCAAGAGCCTTAACAGTAACGTAACATTTGTGCAAGCTTTTAAATCCAGAAAAAATATATATTCCCTTGCCCAAAGGGAGAAATACCATACAATGTATGGACATCAGAGTAATCGCTTAACTATAAAAGGCATTAATTTGAGGCAATTGGAGCCACAGGCACTCTGAAAATAGTCTGCCATTTATGGCGGCATTAACGTTTACGTTAACGATGATGACAGCATTTATGGCCATTCAATGCAAATCAATATCCACACGGGGCGAACAAAGGATAATCTCACCGAATCAAATGGCCGCAGGGCAACATATGTCGATTAGATTTATGTACCCCGATTCCCAGAACTCACACTGTCTATTATCTCACGCAACATGCCGTTCCACTCGCCGGTCTTGGGGTCGATGCCACCGTACTTGTTGTCCACCTGGAGGCGCCACGTGTACGTGAAGCCCAGCTTCTTGGACAGCTCGTCGATTAGCTCGATGCCGAAGCCCTCGAACTGATCGTTGCCCTCCAGCTTCTCGGAGGTCTCCTTCAGCATGCCGTAGGGTTCACTCTGCAATTTGCGGGGTAAAGAAAGGCATAATGGAGGTCAAGGTCGGAGTTTAGCCCCTGGTTTTGGCCCACTCACAATGGCCGTGATGACGACGAAGCTTTTGTTCACCAGCGAACGCATGTCCGGCTCCAAGGAGTGAGCAGGAGCAGGTCGCGCCTCCTGGAAGCCATCCTCGCCGCTCCACTGGCCAATTTTCTGCATCCCCGACACCCCCAGCTCGATGACCTCCAGCTCGAAATCCGTGCGCAGTCCCTCGTAGTCGAAGCGAATGGGACCCGAGAGGCCATTCAGCGTTAGCTGTGGAGCAAGACTCGCTGCATGGGTTATTCAGAATCATCCAAGTATTCAGACACAGAGAAAAATGTCTTATTGTGTGGTAAAAGAAGTTTCGAGTTCATAATGGCCCACTTTTTATAAGAAGATGGTAAGCTGCTAGTGTTTCCAGGAAATAGGTGGGCTTATAAAATATTATATCTACACAAAATGTTATACCTTATATCTTCGATAAAAAAAAGAAATACTAATATTTTAAACTTGAAACTACTTGTATATGAAACCTGAATTGATTTTTAATTAGGCGATTTTTTAAAGAAACTGTTGGTTCAGTAAACATTCTGTATTTTAAATTATTTAAACAATGAATCAATTTCGTCAAATTTGTCTAAATGTATTTTGCAGTTGGCATTATTTGTTATTTGTATCTAAACGAAACAAAAAAAAACAATAACTCGCATATTTAACCTAGCAAAATGTAATTGCTAATTACCTATTCTAACTTATTGAAAAATTTAGTTATTAAAATGTAATGTACTGTGAAATGCTATGGCTTGTTAAGTATGTATGTAAAATGAAAACTCAACTGTTTGTTTACTGGAAGTAGCAATCAATAAATTTTTTAATTCCGTATAAATTAAAAATTCCCCTCAATAGAAATCCAGCCCCACTCACCGACTTCATGTTGCTGAAAAAGTGTTAATTTTTTTTGGAGAGCTTATCATTTAACATAGCCTCTTTTTTAATTCGTTAAAAATTAAATACATATTTATGTGTTCCAAATTGTACTTTGCAGTAGGCAATGTTTGTTAGGAATAAAAGTTGAATTAAATGAAAAAAACAACTTTTTGCTTAATAAGAAAAGCTGGCAAGACATTTCTACCTAGTGTTTTCAACATTTCCGGATAAATTTGCAATTTCGACCAGTGCATCTACCCCTGCAGCTCCACTCACCGACTTCATGTAGTTGACGAGCGTGAAGCCCTTGTCCCAGGCGCTGTCGTCGCCGCAGCTGAGGGCCACCGGGCGGAAGTTCACGTGCTTGTAGGTCTCGGCCAGCAGCTGGACTCCGTCGTAGATGAGGGCCATGCTGTTGGTCAGGGGACAGGACACTGCCAAAGGAAGAGAGGAGAGAGAGAGAGAGAGCGAGGGGGAGTGAAGAGCCATAAAGGATAACGTCGTTTATCATTTCCGCCCCGTTGTCGGGGCCATGAAAATGCAATTCAATTATTTAAATTCAGTCATGCGAATGGATTTCGGATTTGCATAAATTGTGTCTGGCTCTGGATCCGGATGTGGATGCCAGGGCCACGACACTTTCAGGTGGTACTGTCATCCTCGACTTGATTTACCGTTCTGGAAGGGTTCCTCGCTCTCGTAAAGCGCCTTCGCCACCTCCTGCACCTGTTCGCTTTCGGGGGAAACGAGGCGAAGACCCGTGATGTTCGTTCCGGCGTGCTGGTAGGGCTCCAGATCCATGGTGTGCCAGTCCAGGTTGCCGATGATGTAGCGGTAGTCGCTGGTCACCAAACCCACCTGCTGGGCCTGCTTAAAAAACTCCGGCAGCGTGGCCATCGAGCCCACCACCACGAAGGAGAAGTCCTCTGCATTGCGTATCCTACGCAGGACATTCCGGTAGTTCCCGTTCAAGTCCAGTTCGTACCGCCTTACGGTGACCGTCGGTCCCGCCGTTCCGTACATCTGGAGCAGCTCCCGCACGGTGGCCAGATACTCACCCGACTCGTAAATGATGGTAAAGCTCTCCCACCCCAGAGCGACCACCATGTCCCGCAGGGCCACGCCCAGGGAGGCGGGATGTGGGTGCAGATTGATGGTCGGCAGCTGCGCCTCGAAGTCCCAGCGCGTGTCCAGAAAGGGCAGCTCCTTGGCGTCGCAGATGCTCATCGCGTGACGGGCGGCCAGATTCGAGGTGGGTCCGAACACGGCCACCAGATTTTGCTGCGGATTAGGGGAAAATAATGATTTTAGTACACAAAGAAAATCTATTTGAAGAAGATACTTCAAAATATAATACTTAAGATAATATATTGCGGATATTTTAAAAATATTGTGCCAAGCCAAATTAGTTTAAAAATAAAATAAAGTAAATTCAATAAAGATCTTTAAAAGAAAGAACAATATACATTCAATTTACGACACTATTGAGTCTATATTATAAGCTTGAAGTAATGTTTTTATTGAGTGCAAAGGATGTTAAACTTGATTAGTTAATCCTTGTAAGTCGTACTGCTGCTAAACAAATTTAAATGAATGTCTGATATTATAAATTAATATTTAGTAAAGTTAAGTACAGTAAAGTTATATTAAGTCAATTAAAACAAAAAAAAAAAAAAAAAGTGAAAATAATCTATATTGCTATATAATCTCAAAAAGAGAATGGCGATAATGATGGTCTGTCAAAAATATTATTATTAATAATATTATTTACATTAATTATAAATTATTTCTATCAATTCCTTTTTTTCTCAGTATGTAATTTCTAGCTTAATGGTTTCCAACCCACCCGCAGCATTTTGCAGAGCTTTTTTGAGGTCTCGAAGGAGTTGCCCGGCTCGATGGAGACGGACACTCCGTGGAACTGAAGGTCCTCGTTATCCTCGTTCGCCTTGCTAATGGCCAAGTGGAAGATCTTCTCGAGATCCGGTTCGGTGTTCTCGTAGACAAGACCTGCAGGTAAAGGCATTTTGAGAGAGTGACACAATTCTTTAGCTCTTTGTTTTGCTTAGCGCATTCTGTTTATATTTTTACTTAGCCAATTCGCCGTCGCCATCGGCAATCGGCCAACGGTGCGTATGCGGCATAAAAATACATGACACATTTGCATGCTGCGCTGCAAATTCCTGCTTATGTAACGCGAAGAAAAGTGCACTTAACTCACCGACATTTGTCCTTTCTCCATGGCAGCCGAATAAAGCCAATAGCAAACTCATTAGGCAAAGGCCAAATGGAAAACTCGCTGGCACAGAAATTATTCCCCACGATTGCATCGTTGAAATGCCGTTGTTGCCGCCGCGAAATGTAATCAAAAATTCATAAGTATTTCCTCCGGTTGCCCTCGCTATGAATTCCGCAATTATTTCGAATTATTTGCGCGATTGTTGGCCGAACTAAATTTGCATATTTCTGCAGGCTGTCCGCCGCGACCGGGAATGCGAATAAAAATGGCTAAGAGCTCGAGAACACGGCCAACAACAGCAGGCTGCTGTTGATGCTGCTGCATCAGCTGATAGATTCGCCACAAGTATTTTTAGCAGCCAAAGAGGTTTTATGAATGAATTCATTCGAAAAGTTTGTTCGAAACTTTGGCTAATTGAATCACACTTCAGCTCCACTGGAGCCGAATCTTTTGAAGGGTCACTGGGAGCTAGATTAATTAGATAAGCTCCACCTTTTTAGCGCCAATTTAACAGGGCGCCCCTGAAACGGATCCGGGGAAAAAAAACCATCCGAACTCGAAAATAAATCCGCCGCAGCGGCAGGACGTGAGCAGCATACAGTTTCACGGCTAATGGAACCGGACCCTCAATGCGAGATATCCATTCGCCTGAATGGGCCAGTGTGGCAAGGAGCATAAATAAACAGGGCGAAACGAAAATAGCCAAATGCAGTGGATGGCCAAAAAGTAAGGGGAGGTTGAGAGATTGAAAACAGCTTGCTTTCCGCCGAAATTGTTGTTGCCCCACGGACGTGCAACAAGCTTCGATAAGTGCAGGCAAACAGAATAAAACAGAAAAGCAGAAAAACAGAAAAAAGGGAAAATGGAAAATGGAAAATGGGGGTCTGTCCCAATGGCTGTAAACAAATTCATTGCATTTCGCTTGGATAGCCGACGGTTGGGTGGTTTGGTGGTTGCCTGCTTGGGTGGTGCCACCATCTGGTGGTGCTATTATACCACTGGCAGGGGGACGTGCGCCCCACTTGTGGATTTTTGAAGGCCCAGCACGATTTATGGACCTGGCTTTGAATAATCCATTTAGAGCATGCAAAGCAGGGGAGCTACCGAACATCTCTTATTTTTAATAATGATGGTGAGGCTGAAATGTAAAAATTGCTACAAAAAGCAACACTTGCATGCACACGCACATATATGAATACCCATACACACACACATAGCCAGCAGGCAAGCCGGAAGGTTTTTGTGTTCTCCACTTTCGGGCATGTCCTTCACACACAATGCCGCCGAGGGGTCGGAAAAAAGGACGAGGGCGGGGTGTGGGTAGCGGTTGAAGGGGCGTGGTCGGGCGTGTTCGCTAGCAGCAAACTGTTGCTGTCAGCAGTGAATAAAATCAACGTCTCCGTCAACAGCAGGCACCTGTCGTGAATGCAGCCCAGGATCCCAGGATCCCACGATGCATTTATCCCCGAGCTTCGCATTCAAAATTAACGACTTAAGTCCTGCCAGAAAGTTACTACAAATCCCCGATCGCTTGACATCTCAAAATTAAGCAAGCACTCGGATTTATTCTCTAAAGTCAAGGAGCAAATTTACAGCGTTTACCAAATAAATTTTGTATTTTTTTTACTAAAAACTATGGCTCTCGTTGAAAGTATAATACTCTCCGACTGTTAAAATATTGTTTCCATTAGAAAATATATACTATTTAAATGAATTGAAAAATTTCATTTGTATTGGACCATCTGCAACTTTCTACTACCCCTGTTAGCTGAACATATTTTCTAAGGCCTTTAAGAAGCATTCCCAAAAAAAAAACCAATTTATTTTACTTTTCATCTTAAACACTTTTTACTAATATTGAATGTATTGGCTGCTGTTTTTCAATTGTTTACAATTTAAAATTGAAATATTTGGCTTTCAAAGAAAATGTATACAATTTCCATCCTAAAACAGAATCATTTAAATATTTATTCTTTTTCAACATAAAATCAGTGCATAAGGTGGCGCTAAAGGAAGAAACTAATTTGTATGTCACGTGAACGGTTAGAGAGATAACTAAATGTACAATGCTTTCAATTATTATAATAAACCATAAATTTGTTTCAATAAAATCCTTTATTATTATACACGTACAAAGGTAATCTTTTGAGTAAATTTCCTTCAGAGAGTGTATTTAAAGTCCACTTTCTTGCAGCCTGCAAATAGTGCTGCTCGTATTTTGCCACCCGCATGGTGTTAAATTGCCCAGCAGCTATGCGCTTGCACTCGCATTTACATAACCGTGTGCCGGCGTCAATGTATCTTGAGGATACGCATTCTGGCACTCGCACTCGCACTAGCACTCGCCTCGTGCCTGGGCGTGCATTTAGGGCCAGGGAACTCGCGGCATTATGCACACGCACACCATTACCCGCATCCACGGGCTCACTTAGCCACACGGACACTGCGTGCATTTGCATAAGTGCTCCGGTTGGGTTCTCGTCCTCGGGTTGCCTCCAGCTGGTGGCAATTAGAACAAGACCCTCGCAAATCCATTCTAAACACACGGCCAATCTATAACAAGACATATCAAATATATTACCCACAACTAGAATAAGCAAGAATTTAACAGAAACTTAAATATTATTTCTAGGCAACTGAATAATGAATTGTTGTACAAAATTATATATAATCTCTAACAGAAATGCGATTAACGTTTCTGTCTGTAATGTCAATCTTTTGTCAGATGCTTTGATTATTAAAATACGTTCGTCAAATATTATACAAAATAAAATAACTTAATTTATGCATAAATTTGTTACTTTTTTTTGACAGCTAAGGCAATCGTAATTTAAATGAATTTATACTGCAACACCTTCATTTAAACTCAATGATTCCTAACCAAATGCTTTTAAATTCTTAAGTCAAGAGTTTCAAGAACTTTGACAGTTAACGTCCTTCGATTACCAGATTATTTATTGAAGCTGGTAGTGCGAAAGATTTTGACTGCTGTTGATTGAGAACCCAATTGCTGATTTGACTTCATTGTTTTGCAATTTGGGGCATGCCAATTTTGTTTGCTCTGTCAATGTCAGTGTGCCAAAATTTATCCAGGGAAATCAAATGCACAATTTGCGCATGGAAATTTGATTGACACAAGAGAAAATCTGAGAATGCGAAGGTTTATTTTGGCACCTCTAGTGTAAATGGATTCAACGAGGCCACAACGGGGTCCATGAGTGTGTGTGCGGCTTAAAAAGGACACACGGCCTTTAAAAGGGCTTCGTTTCGGGCCTTATCGCTCAGGTGGCCCGAACAGGCCCATTAGAACCCGTCTTGCGGCTCCGAGGAAACTGACGGCTCCCAAAGGTAAACAAAACAGGCAAACAAACCAGAAATAGCATGCAAACGGCTTTCGCTAAGTGGAGGGGCGACAATTTGGCGCGTTGTCAAAACAAAGTGCTTTAGGACACACATAGATACACTTAGCGCCACACAGATACACACTGTTGCACTGTGCGCAAATGTGTGTGTTGGTGTTTGTGTTTGTGTTTGTGTGGGTGGGATGGAAGACAGCCAGACAAAATCAATTTGAATCGCGCCAGTCAGCCAGACAAACAAGGAGCATTCACGGCATGGCCAGAAACGGAACTCAACCGCGGAATCCGCAAGAGAGCAATGCCACTCACACACAGCCGCACGAAAGTAAGCATACCCACACAGATGCAAACCCCACCCACAGCTACACTCGCACAAACTCATACAAATGCAGGCAAGGCGTAATGGCGCGTAAAGTGTTGCGCCATCTTAATGCGTGCCAAAAACCGCAATTCATGGCCGCGAATGCTTCGATGGTTAGGCAGTCTGTCCGTCCGATAAGAACCAGCAGCATTAGCCGGATAGTGAGACGGGGTATACGCTGTGTATACATTTAGAGGGGGAAGGGGGGAAAGGGGAGTGGCAGGAGGAACCGCAGCTGCCGCAACCGGAACCGGAAATGAGTGGAGTAACGGCAGCAAACCGAAGGGTTCGGGCGGGTTGAACGCTCTAAAAGCCTTCCCCAATGCTCATGACAGCGAAGTTTTCACAGCAATTAGCAGCAGGCTGGTGTATTGGTGAGTGCACAGGGGAAAAATTATGCTACCTTAATTCATTTTTAGATTTTTATACCTTATTAAGTCCTATTCCCCAACGGACAGGTAAGAAACGTACTTAAGTTTAAAAATACTTTAGGTATTAAGGCAACACTTTTTGTACACTAAGCTCTTAAATCAGTTTTGAGCAGAATTTCACATTATAAGGTTTAATAAAATACTATAATTTATTTTGCAACTTAAAAAGTAGATCCACACATCTGAAAAAATAAAATATTTATAAATCTAAGATAACACCCTTGTGCGGTCCGAAAAATAAATAAATTTAACTTTTTAATTTGAAGTTTATTTAAATTAAATAAAAACATAAAATTTTAAATTTTAAATAAGTACGTATAAATTACGTAGGGGAGGGTGGTCCCATACCGACCCCCTAAAAGGCAAAAGCGATAAAGGTGAGAAAAATCAATTTTTCAGTTCAGTTCAAAAATTTACTATGTAGAGGGATCAGTTTACTATACATCTAAATGATTAGTAAGTGCGTAGGTGCTTTGAAGCGTTAGATATTCAGGCAAATAAAAAACTCTACTTTTTGGTCGTACTCAAAAGTAGTGGTCCGAAACCGACCCCCTATTTCTTAACAGAAAAATTTAATAACATAAAATAGAATTTAATGATTTTGACGTTTATTAAGAAATATATTGAAGGTTCTTTCCAGAAAATAAAAATTAATGTATGAAATAAAGGGCACTGTAGTCAATTGATGAAGTCTGAGTTGTCCTCTTTCTCATAGTAAGATTTCGCGTTGTTTTCGCGTTGTTTTTCGAAAGCCGCTCGTTGATGACTGTCTCTTCGCTTTCTTCTGATGTGTTTTGATGTTTCTGTTACTTTTCTTTACTGAATCTTGTTTACTTTTTCATATTTTCCCTCAAAAATACGCTATGACATATTAAGCTGCCAATAAATGGGGGTCGGTTTCGGACCATCACCTAGCGGTCGGTTTCGGACCACCACGACCTTTTCTGATTAACTGCTCGGCATTAACTAAAGACGCAAAGAGCGATGTAATTCTAATTATGTGAGTGAAAGCTAGGACTATCAACGATCAGAAAAATTTACTCTCCGATTTTTATGCGGAGAAAAAAAATTTAAGCTCAAGTTCAGTAAAGCTCAAAAATAAATGTCACAGGCCTTGAAACAAAACAAACGGAAAAATTGCAGTGAAACAAAATAAGTCAAAGTGGCTATCTATCTCCAAAATGTCTGTGTTATAACAGCTTTTCACTGAAGTTACCGACAATTCAGCTAGCATCGCCATCTCTGAGAAACATGGGGGGGTCGGTATGGTACGACCGGTCGGTATGGGACCACCCTCCCCTACCCCAAAAAATACAAATTTAAATGTTATCTCTGGCACTCGTAAAGAATATATTGTACATTTATCAAACATTGTTTTGTTCTATATAGTGAAATATTTCTCCTATTGAAATTAAATTGCTTATTTCTTTTTTGCTTAATAAATGAAAACTATTTAAGTTGTTAAAATCGCAGATTGTTTCGTTTTTCCCAGCCAGTGTCTGTGTGTATCTCCAGCTCATCTTGGCCGTGTCAAAGGGCTAACGCAGTGGGTGGTGAAAAGGGAGTGGGGAGAAGGGATGGGGGGGAGGGGGGAGTAGGCCAGAGAGAGCTGCGTATTCGCTGCTGCCTGCTGTTGTTGATTCAATTGCAGCGAGTGGCACGCATGAACCCAGACAGGACACTTTGTGGAATGTTAACAGCGGAGGGCGGCGGCAGGAGGCACAGCCACATCCACATCCACGTCCCCTGAAACAGCAACAGCAACAGCAAACAGGTGAGCTGGCAGGCAGGGCAGTCTGGCGTGGATGTGGCCCAAACCCAAGCCCAAAAACCGAGGGCAGAGTGGCCCATTTGGCACGAGGCCAAAAGCTGGCCAAGGCAGCCCGATTCCAACCAGTTGCATTTCGCAGGGCCTGCTGTGGCATGTTAATGTCAGTGTCACGGTGTCAAATTGTCAGCGCCTGTTGCCACTCGGAAACAGTTCCCCAACCTCCCCCACACCCCTGCATTCTACCACCCCTCGTGAAAAAATAATTCCAGATAGTTGAGGGCACAAAGTATGTGCGACGCCTTAAAGTATGCCATGTGCCATAATTTGTTGCGACATGACGGCGAACTTTGGCCGCACGAAAAAGTGAACTCACTCTACGCCATCTGAATGCTAATGCCTCGAGCAGCATCAGCAACAGCAACAGCATCAGCATCGCTGGCATTAAACAGCAGTTTTGCCACCGAGTAATCCAGCATATTGGCCATTAAGCATACGCACTGCGGACCCTCGTCAAATTAATAACATGCGGGCAGCGGCGGCGAAAGGAATCGAGCAACCCTTCGAGTATCTACTATATATGCCCCGCAGAATTGGTGTGCACATTTAGAAATTTAACCACTTGTTAAACAATAATATCCAATTTCAAAACAGAGCCAGCGAGTGCGCAGGCGAGAGAAAGTGGAGAGAAAGTGCTCTCCTTCCACAATGCATACACACGAATGCGAGCGTACACCAACGGGCGAGTGAAAAGCGCTCATCTGCCGCTGCTGCTGCCACTGCTGCTGCCGCTGCTCTTGGCCAGGCCAGCAAAACGCCAGAACAGAACAGCCAGAACAGTTCGACACGAGACCTCAACGAGTGCGGACGCGTTTGGCGGAGAAAGTGCGAAACAGAAACGTCTGAAAAAAAGGGAAAAAGGAGCAAAGGCCCCCAAAAGAAAGCAAAGGCTGTAAACAAACCCCGAAAAGCCAGCGGCAAGTGAAGAACCTTTGCGTTGCGCGGGTGTCCCGAGTGGAGCCATATGTGCTGGTGAAGATTTGTAGATCCATTGGCCAGAAAACGATCCGCAAACTGTAAGCCATGGCCGAAATCATCGAGCTGAACGTCGGCGGCGTGAGCTACACGACCACCTTGGCCACTTTGCAGCAGGAGAAGGGCAGCCTGCTGGCCGAGCTCTTCGGCGATTCGGGCCGCGACTCGCTGGCCAAGGACAGCAAGGGCCGCTACTTCCTGGACCGCGACGGCGTCCTCTTCCGCTACATCCTGGACTTCCTGCGCGACAAGGCGCTCCACCTGCCCGAGGGCTTCCGCGAGCGCCAGCGACTGTTGCGCGAAGCTGAGCACTTCAAGCTGTCTGGAATGCTGGAGTGCATCCGCGGGGAGCGGGATGCCCGGCCGCCGGGCTGCATCACCATCGGCTACCGCGGCAGCTTCCAGTTCGGCAAGGACGGCCTGGCGGATGTCAAGTTCCGCAAGCTGTCGCGAATCCTCGTCTGCGGAAGGGTGGCCCAATGCCGCGAGGTGTTCGGAGACACGCTGAACGAGTCGAGGGATCCCGATCACGGTGGCACCGATCGCTACACCTCGCGGTTCTTCCTCAAGCACTGCTACATCGAGCAGGCCTTCGACAATCTGCACGATCATGGTTACCGCATGGCAGGGAGCTGCGGATCCGGAACCGCTGGCTCAGCGGCGGAGCCGAAACCAGGAGTGGACACCGAGGAGAACCGCTGGAATCACTACAACGAGTTCGTCTTCATCCGGGACTAAGGAGAAAGGCTACCGAACCAAACACCCCACCCGATCCAGCTCTCTATCCCTGTGCTTTTCGTTTGTGCGGAACTCGCTTCCAAGGCTATTAAGACCCATCAGTATTCCACGGATTAGATGGCCAATCCAACGGTTTGAGTTTAAACCCACCTCTTGATATACAAAAACGGGAACATTTCAAATGTACAATTGAACTAACAATCCACGCACTTAAGTCTAGAAAATTGTTGACATAGATAACTTAATGAGGGAACGCAGGCGCTTGTTAATTTCTCAGTTTTTCTTTCCAAATTGCCTTGCTAAGTAAATATCGTTTATCTATAAATCAGGGTGGGCCCATCAAATCGGACATTACGAGCTGCTCTGCTCCAGAAACTCTTTGATGAATGGAAACGAATTCGGATTTACTGGCTGACAACAAGTGAAAACAATTTGGCAAGTGCAGAGGAGAACAGCAACAACAAAGCGAACATTTTATTAGCCCCAACTTTTGTTGATGCAGTGCAGTGTAAACAAGGCGAGTTGAAAACATAAAACAGATCACACATCCAATGAAATAAATTCAAACGAGGAGGAGAAGGCGGAGTAGGGAGACCTCGACAGCTGGATAAACGGTTGGATTTGTGGTCAATCAATCACACTAAGAAAACACACTGAACAATTTGAAATACGGGTTACTCTTTGAAACTAACGAAATATTGTAGCAACAGATACCACAAACGACCGAACTCAAGCAAATGGTAAATCTAAAGTTTTATTAGTCTAATAAAAGTCGAAACTTGAAGTAAAGAATATACAAATAGCGAAATAGGATAACGGCGAACAACATATGGCCCCGAAAATATATGTTGACCCAAGCTGAAAAGCAGCCTGCAATCCATAAAACCCAAACGCAAATCGATATTAGAAGTACCATTCTTTGACTATACAAACCGAACAACGGCTGTCGAAAGATATGCCCCTTTGCAATAACTCTTGAATCGTTTCCGATTCCTTCAGAATGGCAAGGGAAATATGCATTTGGGCTGGCACTTTTTGAGAGCGATAAATCCCTGTTCAGAAGCAACAATTGGAAATGATTTAATAGTGCATTTTAGCAAAATACCAGAACCGCTCACACACTAACCGTTTTCATCTAGCAGATTTCCTCGTAAATCCAGAAAGCAATCATCATTCCCCACTCATCGTTTACCAGTGCTAAATAGAATGAACTGGTGGAAGAGCCACTGTAATTCGATTATGATTTATTAGTAAACTGTAAAACTGTAAAACTGTAATGAGAAATGCCAAAAACCAAATGGTCACAAGGACTTCCAAAACCAACCACACACACATACGAAACTAAATTTGCTGAACTTTAGAAACCACTCTGTTGTTATTGATTTTATCCACACTGGGAGCGGAATCATGAAAATGTTTTTTCGCTGACATATCTCGCATCGCATTTTCGACATTTCCGCAGGTTTGCTGCTGAATCGTGTCCACATGAAGGAAAATTTATTGAGCGCAGAAATCTGAAATGAAAATGCCGATGCGCAACATTGAAACAATACACTCATGGAATATACGAACAACTTGTATAGAACTATAAAAACTCTCTAAATCGTGTGTAAAGAGGCGCGTTGCATGTGTAATCATCAACTAGGAACGTCGTTATTTGCATGAGAAAACTATTAAGCTCCATTATATACTGACTTTTGGCTCGATGTGAGCTCGAGGCTCTTACACAGATAATATGAATCGATATATACAATATCTATATATACCTAATTATATATTAAAACAATTGTCGATATTGAAAGTATCTTATAAATGTTTAGTATTATTGTAATTGAATCCAAATTGAAAGTGCAAGGCGACGGAATGGTATTGTATCATTAATTAAATTAAACTGAAACTAATTTAAATTAACTAAAACGAAATGTAAAATGTATTTAGAGAAGCGCAAAGTAAAACTGCTAAAATAGCCTATCAAAGTGCGACTAAGCAAGCATATGTATGTAAAGAGGTATAACTTGCGAAAAGCGAAAAACCGAAAAAAAAAAACCAAACAATAAATTAAAGAAACCAAAAAGGATCCATTTGATTTGGGTGCTGGGAAGTAGCAGGTGAGTTTTAGGATCCCATTTCAGCAGAAATATATATTTTTTCGCTTCTCCTAATTAATAGGCTGCGGCCTACGAAATTTGTGCTGCATTATTAAATTCAATGAATAAATTACGGGCTCCTCCAGCCAAATTCGCTGACATTGATAGCGAAATATAAAATTTATGAGCTGGCGGCTCCCCCAACTCGCGACAGCTCATTAAAATTGACGGCTAAACAAATAAAAACAAAAATGCAAACACAATCATAAAGGAATCAAATATACATTGAAAACAAAACAAACAATCCAGTCGGGCCAACAAAAATAAGAGGACAAACAATGGCAAACAGAACTTTTGCAGGGGGACTGGGCAAACATAAGCCAGAAAAAGTTGGCAGGAACAAAAGTGTATATAAATAGCTGAAAGTCGGGTAGATGAATGAATGAAGGCGACCATTAAGGCGGCAGCAACAATTCCTCATTTGTTTAAATTCAAAGCAGGCAGCAGTCATTTAACTGGGCTGTAAGGTCCTGGCCAAAAGCAACAGCAAAAACAAAAGTCAAAATGGGTGGGGTTCCTCTCAGAAATGCTGAAATTAAAAGGGAAAATGCTTTCTTGTTTTTCGCAATTTCCCCCCTGTGTGTGTGTGCTCTGCGTGTTGAAGTGTGTGCTCCAGAGCCAGAAAGGTATACCAATAAAAGGGAAGCGAAAGTTGGCGCCAATCGGAAATGCACTGCCTAAAAGCTGGCCCGGAATACAAAGCCAAGATGAGCTGACGTGCCACCTGCATACTAAGCGAAAGCCAGGATTTTTCTTTTGCCTCGGTATGGGTGTGGGTGTGGGTGTGTTTGGGTGATGGGTGTGTCTGTGTGAAGGACGCCGGGGGGTGGGAGGTTATTGACTGTGCGAACTCAAGATGTACACAATATGCAAATTGCGGGTCCAGAATGAGGTAAGATAGCAGCCAACTCCTCGGTGAATTTTGGTATCTGCTGTGCGCATATAAATTACAGCCCAAATACTTGGCCTCTTTAGAAGGGTACACTGAGAAGCCTTTCGGGAAAATAGTATTGATGTTTTGTTATTTGGTTCTCGAAATATAAAGCTTTAAATAAAATTCAACAATCGCAGCTTGAAATTTGAACGAACCTTCTTTAAACATAATAATAGAACAAATGTAAAGAAAAGTATTGCAGGTAAATTTATAACAAACAAGAAAGTCGAACAAAATACATAAAGGCTGAACAACATTGAAGCTATTTCAATTTTTCTACCCTTGCAGAGGGTATTATATTTTAAATCAGAAGTTTGTAACGCAGAGAAGGAAATACCTCAAACTTTTAAGCTTTATGGGCTCTGAGGTGTCTCCTTCACTGCGTTGCAAACTTCTGACCGAAATTTTAATACCATCTGCAAGGGTATAAAAATGCATAGCCTAACAAGCTATTCGTATATTGAGTATTTTAACGGTATTAACGGTACGCACCTTATTGGGTTTGGAAACACTGCTTCTTATAGACCACTAAAAGCAGGAAGGGGTCAGCATCACCTGCAACTGGAATGAGTTAAAATCATAATTAAATTTATGAATATTAAAAATCCATACTAAAACAGGTGACAATGCACTGCATCCTGGAGTGGAGTTCAATAGATGGAACCACTTTACAAACACACACACACAGAACTGAAAAATCCACCGAAATCAACTGGTATCCCACTAAGATCCATGTTAAGGTATTTTCAAGCAGAAGTATTTTGGTTCGGATCGTGATGCTGATCAAGAATATATAAACTTTAGGTTTCTCCTTCACTGGCTTGCTAATTTCTGACTGATAATATAATACCCTCTGCAAGGGTATAAAAACAGAACCAAGAACCTTCTATATTAAGACTTAAATATTTTCGATCGATACAGGCACACCCACCCAGTAAAAAAAAAAGGTAACGGATGTGCTGTCAATTTTTGAGCCTGCGAAATGAAACGATGCCTTTTTGTCTCTTACGGTAAATTACCTTGATTTGATTTTCTCATAGCGAAGTTGCCCCGTTGATTAACATTTTCCAGACTCTCCGCCGCTGGCAGCAACAACAATTCAGGCACCCTGTCATTTTCAATTAGTTCCGAACGAAGGGAATAACCAGCCCCTTGGTCATCAGTTCGCAGCTGGAGGCGATACAACAAAAGTGTCATCTGCGAGCTTTATTTATTCATAAATATAAATTTAGCATAGGTCGCGGCAAGACTTCTTAAAGCTGTTCTTAATAAAGGATTCAGTTCGTTGGAGAATATGCGTAGAGCGCCAAAAGTTTGAGCTTTTGGAGGCTTAACTCGGTTCGTGGCTGCCTTTATTGCCGAGTCAAATGGAAAGCGTGACACACTTTAATGGGGGCCAATTTACACATTAATTGCCATGGCACAGGTGGAGTTAAGGTAAGGTAAGGGTTATTTATGGCAGGTTAAAATGCCCGATTAGTATTCCCCTCTTTTGGAAAAAGGCTTTTGTTTTTATAACTCACCGAAACCGATTCAATTTCATGAAACTGAAAGAAGCAGACAAAAGATTAAATTTGCTATGCTTTAATAACCAGTGATTGCTCCAAAAGAAATAAACTCAATAATTTACGCTACATCTTAAAGACTAACCTAAAAAGTTGTACAAATCATAAGTTCATATTGCGAGGAATAGAACTTTGAGTAAATTAAGGGTATTAGTGTGATAGTTTTATGGGAAAAGATAAACTTCGTTCTTAATACATAAATTAGCAGTAACCATAAAATAGTATTATTGATTTACGCTTATCATAAAGAGCTTAATGATTAACTGAACCTTAAGCGGACAAAGATAAAGTTAATTAAGATAACTTTCTGTGTGGCCATCAAGGGTTTCGTGCATTGGCTGTCGTGTTTGCAATTTGCTTAAATTTATTTTTATTTCCTCTTATTATGTGTTGCCAACACTTCCCCAAATACCGCTCAAACACAAACAAACAACAAGAGGAGCTTACACAAATGTTGGGGCTTCGTATGTAAGTATGAACCAGTACATAATCATTGCACGTCCACATATGTTCGCCCGCCCAGCTTCCCACGCAGATACATGGCCATAATGACCGCATCATTCACCATACAGAACCCGAAACCCTATTTACAACTCGTATTGCCGTTAGTTTTAAAGGCCAACACGTGCGTGTAGGCAGTGCAATGTGTTTGTTAGCACGGCAGTCATAAAATAACACTTGGACCCCAGAAGGGCAGCGTAACTAGTTATGCCTTTCACGCAATTTTCTCCCCCGACGGCCAAATAAAAGGTCAACAAAACTATACGTTCCGATATACTGGCAGAAAGTATGTATATATATATATAACTATATCAACACCCTGTACAAAAATAAAAAATAACAAAACATAAAATAAAAAAAAAAAAATATATGAAAAATAAAAACTTCATTATATCATAGTTGCCTCCTGTGAGGGTTGAACTCACGGCCTTTGGTTTACGAGACCAACGCTCTACCACTGAGCTAAAGAGGCGGTGCGGAGAGCGCTGCCAAATGGCTTATATCAACTAACACTGTGAGAGGCACAAGATGTGTTAAAGAGAGCGAGAGAAAACGATACCTTGTCTGAGGTTGTTAGAACAGCCAGAGAGCAGATCGTGAGTCATTTTGCTTAAAAATTCTAATGATTAACTACAACATTTTAAGTTCTTTGTTAAAAGTTTGATACTACAAATTGTAAGTTGTCCACTCAATTTTAAAACATCCTAGATGTTTATTAAAACATTTTAAGGAGTCAATCATTTTTAATATTATTAGGCTTTTTAAAAAACAGTAAATAATAACAAGAAATCTAGCCTTAACAAGCTAATGTTATTACACGAAAGTTATGTATGCCAAATTTGTTATATATTTTTTCTCGGACTAATCAAAATATTAATTTTGCTTTATCGTTTGATCTTGTACATTCCAATAAATTTTTGTATTTACAGAAAAAACCTTGGAAATATTTCAGGCAAATTGACAATTTCTTCTTTTGTATATAAACACTACTAACCTAAGACACAGCACCCTAAACAAATATATAAATACTCGGGCCAAACAAATAGAAGTTGGAGAAATAAATAAACTTCACATTCTTGTTTGTAAGAGAGGTTCAACTATTAAATCTTTTTAAAAGACAGTTATTTTTGAATTAAAAAATAAACACCACTTGAAGTTGCCTCCTGTGAGGGTTGAACTCACGGCCTTTGGTTTACGAGACCAACGCTCTACCACTGAGCTAAAGAGGCACTGGAAATAGTCCCGCCAAATACCCTTTACAAAACAACGCTGTAAGCGGTGAGAATTAGATAAGGACAGCTTGTCAGAGAGGGAGGGTTGTTAGAATACTAACTAATGATCATAGCTTCATTTCTTTGATTAAAAGTTAGATATTGAAGCCGCGATCGTCACAAGATTCTTCACCTTGTCAAACTGTAACAGTTACTTTGTCAAAGATTCGGGACAAAAACACGATCATTAATTAACTCGCCGCTCCTACACCCAGACAAAACCGCCCAGAAGCTTAGAAAATCCGCAACAATCCGAAGGCGACCCTGGAATTTCGATATTTACCTTTCTGAAGAAACTAAAAAAGTTTTTTTTACCCATTTTTTAGAAAAATGTTTGTTTAAAAACACAAATTATTTTATAATATAAATGGCCTTAGAGCCGTTTTATTAGGCATCAAAAGTTTTAAGCCAAGCCAAACTGTGGTGATCTTTTACTTGAATTTTGTACAGAAGCTTTTAAATGTATGTGCATACATACTTGTATATCGCATTGGAATATTTCAGTAAAGTCACTGAATTACGCTTACAAAAGTTAACTTGTAATTTGTAATTTGTTAAAAATTTATCTTTGAAAATCTTTAAAACAGTTTAAATTGCTTAATATGTCTTCCTTCATTGTAGAAGTTGATTTTATCTAACATTCTTAAAACGCTCAG